CCCTTGAGTCGTTTCAGTTCCATCACCGCCTCGAGGCCTTTCGTCGCTGCCCTTGCAATGTGTTGTTTGTAGTGAAGTCGTGAGTCCATAACGACTCCGAGGATCTTCACTTGGTCCTTTGGGAAAACTCTCTCATCCTTGATGGTGAAAGGTTCCGAGTCTATCCTGCCTGTGTATCTGGTGAAATGTATGATGGCCGTCTTTTCTGCCTCRAAGGTCGCACCRCTCCGTYTCTCCCAGTCAAGAGCTTTGTCGATGACCGCTTGGATCCCTCTCCGGTTGCTCTGGGCTGTCGGTCCCGACACCCACGCCGTGTAGTCATCGACAAATGCAATAGCACCGCCATTCTTGTCGATTTGAGTTTGCACGAGATCTGCATTGAAGAATAGAAACAACATCGGCGATAGGGGCGATCCCTGTGGCAGTCCCGCTTGTGGCAGAGGTTTACTCTCGGAGCTTTGTCCATTCACCATGATAGTTGCCGTCCGCTCGGAGCAAAAAGCATCTATCCAGTGTAGGAGGCCATCCGGAATTCCTCTCGCCTTCATCCGCTGCAGTAACCTCTCTTTGCACACGCCGTTGTATGCACCTTTCACGTCGAAGCTGATTAGGCTCAGGACATGGCGTGAGCGCCATGCAGAAAAGATACGTTCTTGTAGGAGTATGAGCGCTTGCTCTGCTGATCGCTGTTTTCGTGCACCGAAATGGTTAGTTGGAAGAAGTCCGTGAGTCTCTACCGCGTGGGAGATCCTCTCGGCAACTACCGACTCCAGCACTTTGCCCAAAGTAGCAAGAAGCGAGATCGGTCTCCAGGCTTTTGCAATCGTGTAGTCGTCTTTTCCTGGTTTCTTGAGCGGGATGATTCGAGCATGCCTCCATTGTTTCGGCACCACGCCTTCCTCTAATGATGCTTGGAAAATGTCGAGGACGTCGTGTTTCACCGATGGCCAGACCTGTTTCCAGACCATCGCCGGTAGTCCGTCTTCTCCAGGCGCCTTCCATGACTTCGTCGCCCACAGTTGGCGTTCCACCTCTTCCATAGTCAGGTTCGGCATCGTTACTGGAGTCCTTTGTTGCCGTTACCCTTCGTCTTCGATGTTGTCTGGCAGTGGCGGAAAGAACTTSGCTAACAGTTCTTCGGCTTGTTCTCTATGGTTAGTGGTTGGTGCTCCGTCTGCTTTGGTGAGCTGTGGCACTTTCCCAAAAGCGACTTCATCTCCGGACTTCATGTATTTGGCTGCTTTCCAGATGTTGTCGTTATCTGCTAGGAACTCTTTCCAATGGTTGTTCTTCCGTTGCCGTATGGCATCGTGGTATTGCTTCGCTGCGGCGGTTGCTGAGCCCTCGAGGCCCGAGGAACTCTGACCGGCACGTCTCGCGGTCCGCGCTCTGTTCCTCCAGTATGTGTAAATGTGTCGCAGCTGTGTGAGATCATCGGTCCACCATCGCTTTGCATATGGAGACGGTTTGGCTCTYGGTGTTAAGGTCTGGACAGCTTCCGAGACCGYTTCCATCAACCTGTCTGTTTTCTGCTGCACAGTGTTTCCCGYTGGCTTCTCTCTCAGCTTGTCCATAATCCTGCTGTTGATCTCTYTCCAGGGTGCACTCTTGAACAGCAGCCTTTCTTCTTGTTTYGGTGTCAGGACTGAAACGTCGAACACCGTCTCTACCGTACGATGATCCGACCCGTGTTCCGTACCATGAACCGCGCATTTGATGTTTGCGTCCGCAAGCTCCTCGGAGGCCAGAGCCAAGTCGATCGTCGTCTCGTGGTCACCATTCTGCCATGTTCTCGTGCCTCGGCGAAGAAGACTTCTGAGCATCAGGTCGTTCATCAAGTCGATAATCGGRTCCGCCTCCCCTTGTCGCTCCACCGATACATCGTCCCCTCCCCACATCTGGTCGTGCCGGTTAAAGTCGCCAGCCATCATCACATCAACCGCTCTCCCTGATCTCCGTCTCACCTCCGTAATAGCTCTGCTGAGCTTGCTACATGTGTCCCGTAAAGCTTGGGCGTCTCCGCCTGGTACGTAGACCGATGCCGTGAACACCAGACGGTCTGGCAATCGGAGGACCGCTGCTGTCACGTCTGGGGACTCTATCRGTACCTGCTCCGCCTCCACCTCCCTATTCACCCAAAGCATACTTCGAATCACCCATCTACCCTCCCTCTCTGTCGTAGGCACCATCTTGACCCATCTATGATGTCCCATGGGTGTTGTCAATAATTTGCCCTGGACCCTACGTGCATGGGGCTCTTGGATGGCCAATACGGTCGCATCCTGAATGTCCTTGTCGTTCATTAAACTATCATGTACCGGCCCTTGCTTTATGACATTCAGTTGAACCAGTCGGAATATGCTATTCATGTTGTGATGGATAGAGCTTCCGACAGTTTCTGCTGTATGACTCATGGGGGCCGCCGCATGGGATACATTTCGGAATCGTTCCTGTGCATGCACTGTGGTGGTGACCTTCTTGTGCGCATCTGCCACAGATTTGTGGTCTGTCGCATTGATAGGCTTTGTGGTTCGTGATCTGTTGGCAGTTATAACATTGCTTGGGGCGATCGCGACGTTCGAACGTCTTTGTAGTACCGGATTCTCCTCCAGCCACAAAGAATCCTTCGTTGATGAACCGCCTAGCTTCTGACCGTTTTTTGAGATATACGACCATCGAGCCATACGCTTTGGGAATATCTCTCTTGCTGAGCCATGCTATCTTTGCAACTTCGGTGTCATTTTCTCGGCCGAGCATCTCGGTGATCTCAGTTCGAACCTCATTCCTCTCGTCTAGCACCGCAATGCGGCTGACATTATCCACTCTGATAGGGTACAGGTCGTCTCGTAGGATCCGGGCTCCTGGGGCCAGTTTTGTTTCCGCTATGCGTTTCACAATCTCATGCTCGCTCTCGTCCCTGCAGGTGATCCTGACGCGGTGGGATTCTTTGGGTCCTTAGTCACCGCTCGGCATCGCCACGTGGGATTATCCAGTTCAGAGCGGACTTCGTTCTCCACTGTCGCTCGGATCGTCCCGGCTGAGAGCCTAGCTTCATCTTCTCCTAGTCTTGAAACGTCAATCGTGCAGTAGAGCACGTCTGTGGGGTTCGGAGGAGCGGCTACGGTCCTCGAATCGTTGTGGGGTAAGAGCGGTGTTAGTCGTGTGACGTCGGCATATGATCGTTGTGGTCCGTCTATTGCATTCGTAGCGATAGTTTCGAGCTGCTCGCGGACGCGCTGTAGTTCCTCGGTCATCTGTTCCTTGATCTCCACCATCTGCTTGCCCATCTCGTGCACTGTCTCCTCCTGCTTTGCAGCAGTTTCCTGCAGTTCCCTCGTCATCTCTATCTGTTCCTTCAGCGCTTCCTGCAGTCTCTTGGTCTCCCTGCGCGACTCCGCCAGGAGGTCCAGCGCCTTCTGCAGCATTGCCCTTCCATCGCTACTTCCGCTGCCGCTGCCGCTGCCGCTACTCTTTCAGGTTTCGATCGGCCGGTCGGCCTGTTCTTCGGCTGTTACGTTTCGCGTTGTCTATCGGGTAGTTTCTCGCGTTTCTCTGGCAGTGTCTTCCAATTGTCGCGCCGTATCTCGGACCTTGCTTGTTGGCCTCACCATTCGACTCGATCTCTTTGGCGTCGAAAAGGGGGCGTAATCCTGTTCCACTACGATATCGGCCCCTATTGGGTCCGCCATAACGGGTAGTCTCCACCACGAATTTTCTCCCAACTAACGACGATTCCTCTGATCCCTTCGCGTGTATTTAAAAATGCAGTCCAAAATCAATTGTACAACCGCCTCTCACCGAGTACAATTCAATTCAGAATACCCTAAACCATAAGGGAAAATAGATTACCTAACCGGGAAACAACTCTCTCCTGTAAAAACTTTTTCTTGGCACCCGCTGTTAGCGTTCCGCTAGGGCAAAGGGCTTTTACAGGCCAAAATGGCAGCAAAGGCGGCTGTGGGGCTAGCGGGGCCTTAACAGCTGCCAGAAGAAAGGGATTTGGAGAGTTGACCTTCCTTCGTGACAAGTGTTCTCAGCGACACTAAGCTTCGCGAGCTCTTGACATCGCCCTCGGGCACTATTTCCTACGTGATACCTACGGCTTCTTCAGGCCTCGACATTACGGGCTTCGCGAGCCTTCGACATTCTGGGCTCTGCGCCCTCNAACTACTGTAGGGCTGGCTACGAGTAGAGAGGTGCCTCTTGGGGGGATGAGTACAGAAAACGCTCGAGCATGTATACGGCTCCGACGCAAGAGGCCTTGCAGATGGTSTGAGGGAGGATCAATACGGTAGCGTTTATAGATAGTTTAGCTCAGCACGTCCTGTGCCCCAGTAGGGGACTTTTTGGGCCTACGGCCCCCCGGACGAAAAATATACATAACATAACATAACATATCTCTTAAGGTTGCAACTTCCTTTGTCATCACACTTTCTTGGCATACAAGTGTTAAGAAAGTGGCTCTGTCTACACCGAAATCCTTAACAACTGCACAACAAACGTTTCATCCTGCGCTTTGCGCAGTCGCAAGTCGCGGCGATGGCTTCGTCTATAGCGAGCCCGCCTGCCGCCACAGACCCCTTTAATATGGGGATCCACACTCCCGCTAATCTGAACCGAAGAGCCCGTGCATCTCTTTTGCAAAACAGCCCTGCGACCGTGAATGGCACCATTGGTGTTTCAACCACTCCCGGGCGGATGGCTCAGACACCATCCTCACCACTTGTCGCCGCCGCGGCTGCAGCCACGGAAGGAGCTGCGCGCGCTAACTCATCGTCGATCTTTGAACAACAACCAATCTCTATCATCGAGTCAGCCAATGATCTCGCGCGAGAACAGGCGGAAGAATACAACGCCAAGCTGATGGTCTTCCAGACCTTCTGCGCCAAGGTTGAAGAAGCGGCCCAGCAATTCGCTACCGGACCGCAACGGCGTTTCGCTAAGCAATGTGCTGACAGCTTTCTTGGCATTTGGAAACAAGAGCTTTCCAGCTCCGGACATACGACACCTAAGCCTACATACAGCAGCGTCGCCGCCGCCCACTCCCCGCTGACCGCGCCCGCACATCCCGCCATCATCAACAACAACAGCACCGGCAATCCGACCCACCTCATCGCCAAGGGCAACTGACAAACATGGCCCCACCCCGACAGGATCTCCGCGTCTTTGTCCGTCTAGAGGCCGAGGCTCCGGCCAGGGCCCACAGTGGCTATGCCATCCGGACCTTGATCCGGGAGAAACTTGGCGCCGTCTCGGACAAGATCCGACAGGTGTTTCAGGTCCGGTCCGGATGGGCCGTCCTGGCTGCCGACTCGGCAACACGCGACTTTCTGGTAGAAAAGCAGGCTGAATGGGCCGCTGCACTGAAACCTATAGCAGTAGAAACGAACAAGGAATGGTTCACCTATGTGGTCTCAGACTTTCCCAAGAGACTGACCGACTTCCACGGCAATGAGGTGGATAGTGACAGCGTCGTCAGCGATGAGATAGAAATCCAGACGGGGCTCAAGCCTGTGGACATACGCCCTGCGCGACAATTCTCAGACAACCCCTTGACCAAGGGCCTGCTTGTGTCCTTTCTGAAGCCAACAAAGAGATTCTGGTCGCTATTTGGCAGCAGTGCGGCCAGACTCGTCGACAAAACCAACCGACTCAGACAGTGCGAGACGTGCTGGGGCTATCATTTTGCCCGCAGTTGTTACAGACAGCCAGTTTGCCAACGCTGCGGCAAGGCCGGCCACTCTACGGGTGACTGCGCCGCACCAGAGCGGTGCGTCAATTGCCTGGGCCCGCATCAGGCCAACTTTGACAAGTGCCCGGATCGGCCAAAGAGAGTACGCGGCGTGCTCCGCCGGCTCACTAAAGAGCAATGAGGACATATCCGGACCGTGGGTGCGGAGGCATACCGACAACGACAGCGAGAGCGAGAGCGAGAAGCACAACTGGAATCGCACCAAGAAGCCCAAAAAGACATGTCTGACCGACAAGGCGAGGATGACGTATCACGAGACCAACCGAGCGTTCGTGCTCCAAGCCCAGCTGTATCAGGAGCACCTTCGTGCATCATGGTGGCCACAACGACCCAGATCGGCTACGAGGCAGAAGAGGAGCCTGAGCATCCTAGACCAGGCTCACCGCGAAAGCGCCGAATAGTTCTCATCACTCGTCCCCATGACCGGGAATAGACGACACTCACAGCAGACACGAAAGAGCGACAAGAAGCCGCTCAGGATCTTCCAGGCCAACGTCGGCAAGGTCCCTCCGGCCCACGACTGCGCCCTGGCGCTGGCCGACTCGGAACGATATGACATTGTACTCCTGCAGGAGCCGTGGACGTCTCATACCGAGTCCCGCTTCCTGACCAAAACTCACCCGGCATATGACACATTCACGCCAGTTGACACGTGGAGCAGCAATGACACTCGGCCTCGAGTCATGACATACGTCCGACGAGACTCAAGACTTGTTGCTGACCAGATCCGGCCCTTCCAGAGCCGAGACATTCTTTGGCTCACGATCAGTGGCATGACGATAGTCAACTTCTACCGTCAGAACGACGAGAGGGATGCCCTGAATACGCTGCTTCGATGGGATGTCCCGGAGCGCTGCCTAGTTGCTGGCGATTTCAATACCAGACATAATAGCTGGCAGACAGGCCAAGCTACGAATCGCGGACAAGAGATTGCAGGCTGGGCGTCAGAGAATGACCTCGACCTTCTCAACACTCCAGATATACCGACAAACCCACATGGAAACACGATTGATCTGG